CCTGGTCAGGACACATGCTGGGATTCACAGTAGGGGCATGTAGGAGGCAGCTGATCGATGGTTATCTCTCACATCAATGTTTCTATCTATGTGCAAAGTTAGAAGATGAAAGGAGATAACAAAGATCAGAGTAGAAATAAATTAAATAGAGTCCAGAAAAACAAAAGATCAATGAAATTAAGAGCTGGTTTTTTTTTTTGTTGTTGTTGTTTTTTTTAAAAGTGAAACAACATTGACAAACCTTTTACTAGACTTACCAAGTAAAAAGAGAGAGGGCTCAAATAAAATTATAAATTAAAGAGAAGATACCACTACTGATATAACAGAAATACAAAGGATTAAAAGAAACTACTATGAACAATTATACATCAACAAATTGTACAACATAGAAGAAATAGGTAAATTCCTAGAATCATACAACCTACAAAGACTAAATCTTGAAGAAATAGAAAAACTGAATAGACCAATAACAAGTAAGGGGATTGAATCAGTAATCAGTCTCCTAACAAAGAAAAGCCCAGGTGCAGATGTCTTCACTAGTGAATTTTACCAAATATTTAAACAAGAATTAAGTCCAGTCTTTCTCAAACTCTTCCAAATAATTCAAGAGGAGGGAATCCTTACAAACTCATTCTATGAGCCCAGCATTACCCTGATACCAAAGCCAGACAAGGATACTATAAGAAATGAAAACTAAGGCCAATATCCTTGATGAATATAGATGTAAATATTCTCAATAAAATTATCAAACTGAATTCAACAGTACATTATCATACAGTAGGGATCATACACCATGACCAAGAATCATTTACCCTTGGGATCCAAGATGAGTCAACACATACAAACTAATAAATGTGATACACTACATTAATAGAATGAAAGATAACAATCATATGATAATCTCAATAGATGGAAAAAAGTATTTAATATAATTCAAACTTCTTTCATGATAATAACATTCAACAAATTGGATATAGAAAGGATATACCTCACCATAATAAAGGCCATACATGACAATCCCACAGCTAACATCATACTTAATGGTGAAAAGTTGAAAGCTTTCCCCTAAAATCAGGAACAAGACAAGCATATCTACCTTCACCACTCCTATTCAACATAGTATATGTTGAATATGTTAGCTGGAACAATCAAGCAAGAAAAATAAATACAAGGCATCAGAATTGGAAAAGAAGAAGTAAAATCATCTCTGTTTCTTAATGACATGATCTGGTATATAAAAAGTCCAAAAGACTCCACCAAAAAAACTGTTGAAACTAACAAACAAATTCAGTAAGACTCAGGATACAAAATCAACATACAAAAATCAGTTACATTTCTATACACTAGCAATGAACTATCTGAAAAAGAAATAAAGAAAACAATCTCATTTATAATAGCATCTAAAATACTAAAATACTTAAGAATAAGTTTATCCAAGGAATTGAAAGATCTACACTAAAAACTACAGGATATTGATGAAAGAAATTGAAGAAACACAAATAAATAGAAAGATATACTATGTTCATGGAACAGAAGAGGTACTATTGTTCAAATGGCCATACTACCCAAAGCCATCTATAGACTCAATGCAACCCCAATTTCAAATTCCAATAGAATAAAAAAATCCTGATATTTTTAAAGACCCTGAGTAGCCTAAGCAATCTTGAGAAAGAACAAAGCTGGAAGCATCACACTTTCTATTTTTTTTTTTTTTTATCCTCACCCGAGGATATTTTTCCATTTTTTTGTACAGATAGAGTGGGAGGGAGAGAGAGGAAGGGAGAGAGAGAGAGAAAAAAACATCGATGTGAAGGGACACATCGAGTGGCTGCCACCCGCACGACCAACCAGGGCCGGGGACAAACTGCAACCTAAGTACGTGCCCTTAGCGGGAACCGAGCCCGGGTCTCTCTGGACCGCAGGCCGATGGTCTAACCACTGAGCCAAACTGGCCAGGGCTCTAATTTTTATTATATTACAAACCTGTAGTAATCCAAACAGCATGGTACTGGCATAAAAATAGGCATTCAATGAAACAGAAATGAGAGCCCGGAAATAAAACCATGCACATATGTGGTCAGTGTATAAGGGAGCCAATAATCCTCAATGGGGAAAAGGTAGTTTCTTCAATAATTGGTGGTGGGAAAACTGAATATTCACATGCGAAAGAATGAAATTGAAACCCTATTCTACATCATTCATGAAAAGCTAACTTGAATGGATTAAGGGCTTTAATGTAAGATCTGAAACCATAAAACCAATAGCACAAGCAACAAAAGCAAAATCAACAAGTAGGACTATATTACATCAAAAATCTTCTGCCAGCAAAAGAAATCACAAAATAAATAGGCAATTTATAGACTGGAAGAAATAGTTTCAAGACATATATTAGATAAGGAATTAATATTTAAAACATATAAAGAACTCATTCAACTCAATAGTTGAAAAAACAAGTAATCTGATAGAAAAGGGGCAAAGGATCTGAACAGATAATTTTTTCCAAAGACATATAAATAGCTAAGTACCTGAAAAGGTGCTCAATATCATTGGTCATCAGGAAAATGCAAGTTAAAACTATAGTGAGATGGCAATTCACACCTGCTAGAATGGTTGTTATCAAAAAGGTAACAAGTGTTGGCTAGGATGTGGAGACAAGGAAACCCTTGTGGAAATGTGAATTGGTTAAGTCACTATGGAAAATAGTATGGAGGTTCCTTACAAAATTAAAAATAGAGCTACCATATGACCCAGCAATCCTCCTCCTGGGTATATATCCAAAGAAAATAAAAGAGATCAAAGAGATATCAAAGATACCTATACTCTCATGTTCATTGTAGCATTTTTCACAGTGGACATGGAAGCAATCTGTCCATTTATTGACAACTAATTGATAAAGTATGGTACATATGTACAATGGGATATTATTCAGACTTTATAAAGAAGGAAATCCTATCATATGTGACAATATGGATGAAATTGGGGAACATTATGCCAAGTGAAATAAGCCAGACACAGAATGAAAAATACTGAATGATCTCATATGTATATAGTCTAAAATAGTCAAACTCATAGAAACAGAAAGTATAATGATGATTACCAGGGGCTGGGGGAGGAGGACATGGAAAGTAATAGTCTAAGTATACAAAATTTTGGTTATACAGAATAAATAAGTTCTGGAGATCCACTACACCACGTAGTACCCATAGCTGACAGCACTTTATTTATTTCATGCTTAAAATTTGCTAAGAAGGTCTATTTTATGATCTGTTCTTAACATAAAAAATGGCCCTGGCGTGTGTGGGTAAGTGGTTAGAACATCAACCCATGCACTGAAGGGTTGCAGGTTTGATTCCCAATCAAGAGCTCAGGAACATGTACCTGAGTTCCAGGTTTGATTCCCAGTTTGGGCGTATGTGGGAGGCAACTAAGCAATATGTCTCTCTCACATTGATGTCTCTCTCCCTCTCTCTCTCTCTCCTCCCCCTTTCTTTCCCTCCCCCCTCACTTCCACTCTCTTTAAAAATCGATGGAAAAAATATCCTCAGGTGAGGATGTTTTTTTCCATTGATTTATAGAGAGAGTGGAAGTGAGGGAGGGAGGGGAAGAGAGAAACATTGGGGTGAAAGAGAAACATCAATTGTTTGCCTCCCGCACTCACCTCTGAACCAGGGCCAGGGATCGAACCTGCAACCAGGTAAGTGCCCTTGACCAGGAATCTAACCCATGACTCTTTGGTGTGTGGGCTGATGCTCTAACCACTGAACAACATCAACCAGGGCAATAATGTGTTTTTTTAAAAACCAAAACGCATCCCTGAATGAGTCATAAGTGTGTGATCTAAAGGCAATATATCTGCAGGTTGACACCGTGGGGGCCCCAGTGTGAAACCACTGGTTTATGGATACTAGACCAAACAATCAAGTGTGGGAGCTAGACATAGGGGCAGTGACAAAGCAAGGTCAAGGGAATGGCAGAGTCATGTTGGGGTGGTGACTGGGGTTTCTGAGCCAGTTATTGAAGGGAGAATCAGAGTTTACCAGATGGCCAAAGTGGAGGGCAGGAGCAGGGCCTCCCAAGCTGATAGGTAGGTCAATTCAGGGGCAGGGAGGCCTGACTATTCACCCTGTTATAAGAAGGACTATGTTGTGTCAGAGACTGGTATAAGGTGTGTGAGCTGGGGGAAGGGAAGGCCGGCAGAGAGCCTTGGATGTCAGAGTGCAGAGCAACGTGAATTCTGATGGAGACGGAGGTCTAGCAAGAGCTTTGCAGGAAGGAGTGCCATGGTGGTCTTACAGGGAGGCAGCATTTCAATTGCTGTAGAGTCTGAGCTGGTAACCGAGTAGATAAAAGAATGCACAATGGGGTACAGGTGCACTGGCTCCATTCATGGCATCCCCTTCCTGGCAACATGGAGCTCACTGTGATCTGAGCCTGCATTTCCCAAGGAAAGCTGGAATTTCATTTTTGAAACATGAAATCTGATCATTCTGAGTTTGGGTTTACAACTTTGAAAATACTGTTTGGGGTAAATTGAGCATTTCTCTGGATAGATCCAGCCCTAATTGACATTTTGATCTTTGTCTTGGACTTGGGGCTCCTAGGGATGGGGTGGCACTGGTCCATATTTGGTGTATTTTGGTGTCCCCCTGGGGCCTCACAAAGGCCCATAGTCTACTTCAGTTCCTTCAGGCTGTTCTCGATAGTTTGGCCTTACAAGTCCAGATGAGGAGAGTTGGAAGATGGTGGTGGGAATGACGTTAGGCAGAGTTCCTTCTCCAGACAAGGCTCTCACCACAGTACAGTGGCTCTGGCTTCAGTGACCAGAAGTAGAGGCTCTGGGAAAATGGTGCCCCTAAGAGCCCTCTCTGTGACCTTTCCAGCCTGGGTTCCAATCTAGCTCTGTCAGGTAGGAGATTTTGCCCTCTGGGACCCTCCTTGCTATTCCCCTACCTTGTCTCTTGTGCTCTGGGAATCTGAACCATCTCATCTTTGCCCTCCAGGCTGGCCTGATCCGTATGGAGGAAGAAGAGTTCTTCATCGAGCCCTTAGAGAAGGGGCTGGCAGCGAAGGAGGCCGAGCAGGGTCGTGTGCATGTGGTATATCGCCGTCCATCCAACCCCATGCTCCCTTATCTCGGTGGGGCACTGGACACAGGTAAGGCTACTGCAGGTGGGCAGGCTGTTTAGTAAGCCCTAGATGTCTTCCCTGGGTGACACTGGTACCCTTTCTGCAGGCCTGGTCTCAGACCGAGGCTGAGCCCTGCCCTTGTTGACCACACAGCATAGTGGGAGTGCTGGAGCAGGGGCCTCAGCTCTGAGTACATGTGGGCCACAAGCCTATAGGTCTGGGGTCTCCTTATAGGACAGTGAAAGCTGCCTGAGGGTCCACCTTCTTCCCAAAAGCCAGCAAGTGTCAGGGATCAAAGGAGGCCCAGACAAGGCCTGGATCCTCCAGCCCAAGTCCCAAACCCGTGCCTCTGAAGATGTCTGCTGCTCCCAGACAACCTCTCTCCCCTGCTTATGTGCCCACTTTCCCTGCCATGGTGACCGCTTCTCCTGTCTGGTTTCAGAGAAAGCCCCTGAGTACTCCATCAGCCCGTGAGGAGAGGGAACTGCACCACAAAGACCTGGAAGTTCTCCCAGCAGCCTCAACAGCCTATGTAGCCTTACATGGTTTTGTTTTTTTCAACTTAGAACCAAAGAGCATTCTGGGCCCAGGAGTGTGGAAGGAGCTATTGAGTAGGCATGGTGACAGCCCCAGCTGCAGCCTCTCAGAGCCTCCAGGAGGCCAGGCTCAATGGCCAACCCAGACCTTTCCAGCATTTTGGGGATCTCAGGTCATGGGTTACAGTGAGGTCAGGTTAGGGTCTGCCTGTGGTCCTAGCAGGCCTCATAAGGCCCAGGGCCCCAGGGTCTGGATGAGACCACCTTGCCTGCTCCTCGCTCTTCTGTGGTGGGCTCAGCCCTCAGCTTGAGGTCCTAGATCCCTGGCTAGTGGCAGGTGGCAGCAGGCACAGAGGCCTGGGTCTTGGGTCAGGAGCATCTGCATGTTTAAGTGAACCCCAGAGGCCCCACTGGGCTAGCACACGGGTATATAATTTGCAGAGACTCTCCCCTCACCCCAAGCAGCCCTGGCTCATTTATCTTAGGTCTCTGCTTTCCCAGCTTAATAGATAAATTTTGAGTGCAGCCTGGCAGGGCGCCATTCTAATTTCAAGGAGCAGTGTCACATATCTTTGCAAAGGAATTGTGTCCTCAAAAAGCCTAGCACTCTCTGCAGCTGATCAATACTTCTGGGACCCCTTTGTCCAGGTAATAAATCACTGTCTGCCTGGTCCCCTCCTGCCTCTTTCCTGCCTTTGGGCTTCTTTGCTGGGGGGAGGAATGAAGAGTAACCCTATAGGGTGTGGCTGGGAGTGAAAATGGGGCAGAGAAATTGCCTCAGACCAGGGACCACCAGGGCCCTGGCCTTGCTTTTTGATGGCCTGCTGCTCTTGGGCAAGTTTTGGCCGCTGGCCTCTGTCTTCTTATCTGTCCACTGGGGTTAGAAAAGTCTGTATCTCAAAGAGCTGAGGACGTGGCACTTTGTGCTTTGAATCTGAGGTTTCTGGGCTGGCCTCTTCAGGTGGTCCAGGGGTCTAGCTCAATCTGGGTGAGGGACTGCCAAGTGCCCTAGGCCAGTTTCCAATCCCACATCCCATGTGGTGCTTGTCTTTCTGAACATGACAGCCCTCCACCATGGCCTGGCCTGCCTGGCCTTATTAGCTGTGCTTCTGTTGGTCTTTGGGCATCTTTTGTTAGAATTTCCTTTTTTCCACTTCCCTATACACCCACTTTGGTGAGAGCTTAGAATTCAGAACTTAAGAAAGGAATTTTAAACTCAGAATAAGTCCAGAATACATTGGCTTAGAAGATGCTGGGAAAGGCCAATTACATCATTTCAGGGTTGAGGCTGTGATGGAAGGGGGCAGGGGAGCCTGTCCTAGATTGAGCTCTGTGACTCAGCCTTGGGCTATGGGTGTGTAGGCTCTAGGCCACAAGTCTAGGGCCAAGTCCTCTTTCCTTGATGTGTCTTCCCAGTGTCAGCATGACCCTGTGTGGGTGACTTGGTCCACAGAAAGTACATTTCTCCCTGAATGTGCCTGATTTTCCACACTTGGCCTAAGGCTGAGGCCCACTCACTGGCTAGAGGGGTCCAGATACATGTTATGTTGGGGCTGGGCTGAGGGCCTGATGTAATATAAGATGGTGTGGACCAGCTCTCTATCAGCCTGGACCCAGTTAGGGCCCACTCTACAGCTGGGAAAAATGGAAAAGCAGTGTCTTTGGCTGGGTATGTTGCTTCTTGTGCTTTCCTGCAAGAGGACATGGAGCCCAGGACCTCTGTGTGTGCATGCATGGTAAGGTATCCTTTATCCTGGTAAGTTCTGATGGGGACCCTGACATATATATGTAGCTCTGGCTAAAGCAGGCAGGAGGCTTCCAACCCCCATCCCCATTCCCCTTAGCAACTCCTGGAAGCACATTTGAACACTGCCCTCAGCCATTTATTGATGGGCAGTGGGTATGATGGGTCCCTGGGGAAGGCAAAATACCTGTCCTGGGCTATGCGGGTCTGGCTAGGGGTGGGTGTGTCTGTTTCACATGGCTCCTCCAGGATGCTGAGACACATTGTTCTGTTTTCTCTGAGCAGCCAGCAGCCTTCCTGGGGTGTCTCGGGGGCTCACTGAGCTTCAGAGAGACATTATCATTAATAGTCTCTGTCATCAGAGGTTGGTTGCAGGATTTCAGATTGCTCATAGAAACAGGTAGGAAATGAAGGTTTTAACATGTCTTTATGGACTCAGGCCAGTGTTGGATATGTACTTAGCAACTTAGTGTCACCAGTGTCATTCTTGGGTCCTGAAAGGGAATGTGTAGGGTAGCAAGGGGCTGAAGGAAAGGAGAAGGACTTTTCTTTCCTCACTGGCCTTGCGTGTGTGGTAAACTTCCCTGCTAAGCTCTGTTGGGCTCTGGAGCCCAGCCAGGGCAGAAGGGTAGAACTTGGAGGCCAGGGAGATAGGGAGAGACCTCTCTCAGGCACTGTAAGCCCCATTCTCTTACTCCCCCAAAGCCAGCTTTGTGCCCCTAGAGTAGTATGTGGGGGTAGGGGTACTGTATAACACTGGTATCTCTGGTGTGTGTGTGTGTGTGCGTGTGTGTGTGTGTGTGTGTGTGTGCCTGCACACATACTTGCACAGGGCCCCATTCCGAGTTCTGGGCTACTGCCCTGGCTGCCATCTCTCAACCCCATTGTCTGGGGTTCTTGAGTGGAAGCCATGGCTGGTGGATACAGGAAAAGAAGCCCTAGCCTAATGATCCTGGCATTTAACTCCCCTCCTAGTCTCAAGCTACAAACAATACGTTTATTCTCTTGCAGTTCCAAAAGGTAGAAGTTCAAAATGACTAACACTAGGCCAAAATCAAGGTGTTGGCAGGGCCATGCTCCTTCCAGAGGTCCTGTGGAGAAATCCATTCCTCACCATTACCACCTTCTGGTGGCTGCTGGCATCCCTTGCCTGTGACCATGTCACTCTGATCTCTGTCTCTGTGGTCACATTGTCTCCTCCTCTTCTGTATTTATGTCAGTCTCCCTATTATCAGGATGCATGTGATTGCAACTAGGGCCCACCGAGATCATCCAGGTTGACGTCTCCCATCCCAAGATCTGTACTCTCTATCTGCCAAGTCCATGAATTAGGACCTTGTATCATTGGGGGCCACCATTCAGCTCATTCAGGAAGTGAATCAGTGCTCACCTATAGGGTGGTCATGCAGTGAGGGAGGTGCACATCTGTCAGGAGTGATTCTTCAGGCCTCCCTTACTTCTTCTGAGGACAATGCTTAGGCATGGCTCAGGCAAGCCCCTTGACCTACTGCCTTTGCTGGACCCTCATCCATGCCATGGGGCCTGGAGAAGCTGGGCTGTGCTGCAGCTAAGCTGATCTCAAGACCAGGTGCACAGAAAAGCCAGTCTTGTTTTTTTGTGTTTTTTTTTAATTAATTTTTTTAATTTTATTTTTGTTACAGATGTTTCTCCTTTTTCACCCCATTAACACCCTCCTCTCCATACCCCCCACCCTGTCCCCAGCTTTGTTGTCCATGTCCACTGGTTATGCATACATGCATATAAATTCTGTGGTTTATCTCTTCCCAGCCCCCACTCCCTCTTCTGAGGGTTGTCAGTCTGTACCCTACTTCCATGTTTCTGGGTCTACCCTATTCCTCAGACTGTTACATTCATTATATTCCATATATAAGTGAGATCATGTGGTATTTGTCTTTTTCTGCTTGGCTTGTTTCACTTAGGATAATACTTTCCAGGTCCCTCCATGTCATCTCAAAGGATAAGAGATCTTTCTTTCTTACAGCTGTATAGTACTCCATTGTGTATATATACCACAGCTTTTTTATCCATTCGTCTACTGATGGACACTTAGGCTGTTTCCAGATCCTAGCTTTTGTAAATAGTGCTGCTATGAACATGGGGGTATGTATATTTTTTATGATTGGTGTTTCAGGCTTCTTAGGGTATATTCCTAGAAGCGGGATCACTGGATCAAAGGGAAGTTCAATTTTTAATTTTTTGAGGTAGCATCATATTGTTTTACACAATGACGAACTCACAGAAAAAGAAACTGAGAAAATAATCCTATTTACCATCGTGGCAAAAAAAAATTAAGATGCCTAGGAATAAACTTAACCAAAGAAGTAAAGGATCTATTTGCAGAAAACTACAGGACATTGAAAAAAGAAATAGAGGAAGATATAAAAAAGTGGAAACACATACCCTGTTCATGGATTGGAAGAATTAACATCATACAAATGTCCATATTAACCAAAGCAATCTATAAATTCAATGCAATCCCCATCAAAATGCCAACCACATAACTAGAACAAATAATTCAAAAGTTCATATGGAACCAAAAAAGACCCCGAATAGCCACAGCAATTCTGAAAAAGAAGGACAAAGTAGGTGGGATCACAATACCAGATATCAGGTTATACTACAGAGTGACTGCATTCAAAACAACCTGGTACTGGCACAAGAACAGGCATATTAACCAATGGAACAGAATAGAGAACCCAGAAATGGACCCAAGGCAATAAACTCAA